GTGGGCGTCAGGCACAGAGTGAATTCCAGGCGGGGCTCCTCCCCGGTATAGCCGCTGGCAAGGGTGTAATCCTGGCCCCGGCGGAAGCGGCGCGCCATGTAGTCGTAGCTGGAGACGCGAGCCGCGCCGGTGATCAGGGCCAGCCACTTGCGGAACGCCCGGGACGGAAAGAGGTCGTTGAGGAGCTCCTGGAGCGGGGTCTTCTGATCCTCCGTGGCGGTTCCGTGCTGCTGAAACATGTAGCGTTGCTTGTGGGGGGGCCGGGCAACAGTCCACCCGGTCTGGGCGAGGATCTCGTCCGAAGAGCTGGGCAGAGATTGCTTCTCCTGCTCCTCAATATACGTGCGCACCCGAGCGGAGAATTTGTCGGACAAAAACTGGTCGAGGTTGAGGGAGGATTCATTGCCGAACGTCTCGGACATCTCCTCGGCGATGTCCGGAGTCAGGTAGGAGGGGCGGATGTATTGAATCAGGAAGTTCAAGTCTGACTCCGTGAACTCGGCGCTGGGTTCCTCCTCCACCTTCGCCTTGCCCTTCCCCTTGCCCTGATCAGTCTGTCCGTCCGCTTCCTCGCAGACGACCGGCTTGGGCTGAGGGAGATCGTAGATGTCGCCTCGTCCCTGAAGCTGGGCCAGACTGCTGCGCTCGGCGAGCTTCTCCTCCAAGCCGGCCTCGTATCCGTCTTCGCCCTCCTGCGGGATGTGGAACCATCCGCTGATCGCCATGCGCACCCGCTTCTTGGACTTGTCTTCGTTCTCCTTGGGGTGGTAGACTTCCTCAACGTCGTGGAAACTCTCGCCGGGCTGGACGGTGAAGAAGCTCAGCTGGTTGAAGGCAGGGGGAATGCTCAGGCTGAAGTCAGGACTAGGGATCTTGACATCGTCGCCGTTGACATCCTTTTTCGTGGTGGTGGGGTACAGGCGCAATGCACCACCCCATTCCTCTTGCCATGGGGTGTCCGGGTCGGTCAGGTAGAGGATATAGGATACTCGTCTGCTGCCAATGACGTCGTCATGGCACAACAAGTGGCAGCCTTCGTTGTAGACGTTGATGGCCATGTCGGTCTTGCGACCGCTGAGCTTTCCGGATCCGGTCACGGCGGAGAGGTATTCGCGGAACCGAGCAGAGTACATAGCATCGCGCAACTTCAGGATCGAAGGGAGCTTCGACAGGGACTCATCATCAAGCCCGTCCAAGTTGGCCAGATCGCCCGACTGGAAGATCTTGTAGATATCGGTCTCCTTCTCAGTGAAGTCGACTTGGGCCTGGATTTCGTCGCGGACAGCCCGTAAGAGGGAGGGCTCGATCAAAGGGGAAATGACTCCATGCTTGTAACTTGAGCACTAGTTAGCCTTTTGTTTTGAGTATAGCATCTGAATGATAGACGAATTGGTGATCGGGTGGGGTGGACATACGGAGCAGATTGAGCATACTGCTCGGTATACTTCTGTTGCTCCGAAGGGTCGAACAGACCGTCGCGGAAACGCGCAGCGGCTTCCTCACTGGACAAAGCACGCTTTTTCGTCTCCGGCTGACCCTTGCTCGAGCTACTGTCTGTCTTGCGCTTCATTTTCGGTGATTTCGATTGAGATGATCTGAAAGGAGGGGAAGCCTTGGGAGGGAAAATCGAGGTGCGACAACGGAGGGCTGGGGATCTTTTTTGCTAAATTTTAGTTTGGCGGTGAGGATTTTGCAGCCTTCGATTTCAAGTCAGCCCATCCATCAATCAGGCCATGCAACCATCTACGGTACGGTGCGGTCTCTCTTTTCTTGGGCACGGTGTTGGAGATAGCCAATATGGTATAAACTTGTAAATTCTAATAACCTTAGCAATTCAATTGTTACATTGTCTATGGACTACGTCCTGTTCTTCGACAAATGAAGGACTTAGTAGATGGTGGCTCTCGGTTCCTGAGTTGGCGGCTGGAAGCTTCGATTGCTCCGCACTGGCCGATAATGAATCCCCCCCTGGCGATAAGCCGCCTATCATCTCCATTCAACCCATCTGCCCCATCATCACTGCCTATCACTTCCATCACCTCCCTCCATCTTCTGCCTTCTGCCTACCACTTTCCACCTCTGTTACAGTGCCACATTCACCCAAACAGATATTATCCTGATAACCATTAGCTATCCTCTGCTGGCAGACAAACGGCTCGCCTCGCTCTTTCACCCCCAACACCGACCCCTCACTGAGTACAGCGCAGACGTCATTGAGCGCCGATCGCGGCCAGCAGTCCTTCGATCCAGCAATCCGCTTGATAGAGGGATCGATCCCGTCCTTCAATTTCGCCCCTCTCAAAAATAGTCAAAGAAACACCGCACGGGGAGCAACACACAATATGCAGCCTGTACAAGAATCCCAAGAAAGTTCGCCCGATCGGCCAGGGACTCCGCCACGCCCACCGTATTCTCCTGTGACACCGACCTTTGCGCATCTCGCACCTGTCATCTCTCCCTCCGTGGCAAACGGGGTATCGCACCCCATCGTCCCTCCCGCCGCATCGCCCTCTCCCACAACGGCAGCGCCGCCCTACAACGGCTTGACGCCGGACTTTGCTCCTCCCCCGCAGGCCCCGCGTGCAGCACCCTTCTTCGCTGCGGAACCCGCTCCAGTGCCCATTTCCGAAAGCGAGAACCCCGATGCGATCGCACTACGGTCTGCTATCTCGATCTTGCAGCTCCAGAAGCAGCAGAGCCTGCGAGATATCCGGACATTGGATGAAATGAAACGAGCGGCGGCGGCGGACCCGGAAGGCTTTGCGCGCGAACTGGCTGCGGGGAACCTTACGGCGAAGGATAAGGGCGGATTTATCAACTTCCGCCATGACACTACGCATGATGACGAGGATGAAGATGAGGATGATGGGATGGGGGATGATTCGAAGGAAGGGAAGGCATCTGGGTTTGGAACGATTCCCCCTCCCCAAAACGTGGTTCGGATGCCCCCGATCAACTGGGCCAAGTATCATATCGTGGGCGAATCGTTAGATAAGATGCACGAGGAACAGCGGCGCCGGCCATCCGCGGGGGAGCCGCGAAGGGATGAAAGCGCCCAGCGGGCCCCAGAGTATCTCCTGGCTTCACCGTACCGACCGCTGACGGACAAGCTAGACAGCTCGAGCAAGGCCAAGGGGACTGGAGCCAAGAGCAAGAAGTCCTGATCAGGCCTCCTTCTCTAAAAATCAAAATCTGTTTGGTAAATCGACTAGACAGTGACAACATTAGCATTCATATCAAGGGCTAAGATCACAGAAAGCGTGCAACAACCACAAAAAGAGGATACCACCACAGCTGTAGGAGACGTCCGCGTGTACAGTATATGACAATGTGGAAGTTTCCCGGCGACGACACAATCAATCAAGCACAGTTGAAATCCTTCAACTCCGCAAGTGTCTTCTGCAGCCTCTCATGGGCCTTCTCAACCCGTTCAATTTGTGCCTCCATCTCAGCCTCAGTGGTGATCGCCGAAGTCGCCTTGAGCTGCACCGGGGGTAGTATGGCCATCACTTCGCGCACCTCGTCCTTGGACGCCTCCGATGCTTTCAATGCAATCATCGTCCGATACCGCAGACTCTCCACAGTCGCCTTCCTCCTGTGCTCCTGTTCAATGATCCCAAGCATTCGTTTTTCCGGACCAACCTGCTCACACCCGCATGCATGTGCGCTCAGCCAGGCCTGCGCTTTGGGACAATCGGCCCGCGTCTGCATGACGATATCAGCGACGGCCTCACGCGACAGAGGCGGGTTCGAGTCGCTACCATCGTACCGCGAGACCATCTGTCCAGATACCTTCTTGCTCTATTTTGTGGGGGGGGAGGTTCAATGTCAGCAAGTTGTGCAATTTCAGGAAATTCGTCATGTTGTCTTCTTTCATTCCGTACCCCAATATGTATCTTCAACCCCGCCTGATCAACCTTCACATGTACTGCTTCATCCTCGTCGTCCAGTGTCGCGAACGGGGACGCGAGCTTCGCGGCTTTCTCCGCCCAGAACCTGGCCCACGCCAGCTGGGACTTTTGGAAGGTGTAGAAGCTGTCGTGCTCACAGCGCTTGGATCGGTCGTGGGCAGTGGTGGAGGTGGGGGCGTCAGGTTCTCTCGCGCTAGGATGAGGTCGAGGGTGAGGTGGAGGTACCGGACTGGAGGGTGGCAATTGGGTGGCCTTGCGTTTCTTTCTTCCCATCTTGGAATTTAGGATACGGGGTCAACGAGCTTAGTCTGCTTGAATTCTTGATCCGTCTGAAGGGAGGAGTAGATCGTTTCCTGAGAATGAACGGATGAGATGACAAGATGAGCTGGAGTAGAGATGAGATGAGATGAAGTGTAGGTGAAATGAGAGGGAGGATGAGGTTCAAAGTGGATCATGCTGATTACACCTTCTCCCACTTTCTCTCTCACTCTCTTGACGGGTTCTGTAACTCCTGAGGTACTGGAGCATTGATGTAAAAGTCCGTGCTGGGTCATGATGGTCATTGTAAATCCGGGGGCGCTGGATACATGCTGAGGGAGCATGCAGGTATACTGCGTGCTAGTAGGAACAAAGCTGCTATACATTACTAAAAGTTATTCTAAGAATATAGACAATTTTGATTAAATAGTCCTAACACAGTTTCTTAGGTAATCTTTCAAAAGATCTTAAGATTTAGGAAATCTATACCTCTAAATAGGAGATACTCTTGTATGTGATTATATATCTAAACTTATAAGATTGGATAAGATCTGTTAAAAGTATACTAGTTCTATTAGATCTAATCTCAACAGTATCTAGTTTTTAAGACTTGTAAAGATTAGGTAAGATTATTTTCCTCTCTAAGTAGACTTACAAGTAGCTCTCTTCTGATAGCTGTCTCCGGCACCTCCTTACTTTTAGTATCATGTCATCTGGAAATGTAGATAAAGCCCCAGCCCCAGAGAGAAGTGTCAAAGTGCAGCGAGGAGCCAGCAAATAGCCACGATGAAAGCGTCCAAACTTGGACTCGGAAGGATGAGCAATCAAGCCCAAGAATACTGTACATGTATATAGTTTTATTCATCAGATCCAAGTGATAGATACCTATAATCCAACGCATCTAGCGCAGAACAACTAAAACAGAGCAAGTGTTTAGCATATGTCCAAGAAACACCACAACCAACATCCACCATAACCCACCAGATCTTCATCCTCACCCTCACCCAATACCTCTTAGTACCCCTCCACCCCAGCTCCCAGCACCCAGTTCCCAGGCCTCATCCCCCAGCAACCGCTCCCCCAAAAGATCAAAGCTTAGCTTTAACCTCATTCTCCCAAGCCTCGACCCTTCCCCTCGCGGCCCCCTCCTCCTCCGCCTTCCGCTCCTCCACGCGATCCCGCCACGCCACCATCTCCGCATGCGCATCCAGAATCCCCAACGACTGCCGCCACATCTCCTCCTTCATCATCCCATAGATGCCCGTGGCAGCTTTCGTCTGCAGCCGGCGGTCGCGCAAGAACTGCACCGCCTCCGCCAGCCCGCCGTACGCGTCGACCAAGCCGGCCTCGCGGGAGGCGGCGGGCCCGCCGAAGCGCCGCGCCTCGAGCACGAGGTCGCGGAACGCGGTCGCCGACAGCTTCTCCCGGAAGACGCTCATCATGGGCGACTGCAGCGGCACCCCGAACTCCAGCTCGTTGATGCAGAGGTACCCCTTGCTGGGGTTCTGGATCCGGTAGTCGTGGTACATGGCCAGCATGAGGCCGCCGGCGAAGGCGTGGCCGTTCAGGAGGGCGAGGGTTGGCATTGGGTAGCTTTTGCGGTTGGTTAGTTATATATTTGAGTAAAAATGGGGGGTGGGGAGGAAAGGTGAAGACCTACGTAAGTACCCGCCGAAATAACTTCCATAACCATTTCTCGACGAAGCCCTCGGTGGACTGCGCGAGTTCGAGGTCGAGACCATTGCTGTAGAATTTGGGGATGCCGCTGGTGGTGATCACGACGCCCTTGGGGTAGCGGTATTCGATGATGTCGAGGGCCAGCAGGAAGGCGTCGATGAAGGTGGGTGTGAGGCGGTTGTCTTTCGGGGAGGTGAAGGTGAGGATGTAGATGTTGCGGTCCTGTTCCGCCGCGGACGGGTTCGTGCAGGTGAAGGTGCCGTTGGTGGAAGTGATGGGGATGGTGAAGAGGGGCGGCGGTGTTGGGTCGGGAGTAGACATGTTGGTGAGATGAGAAGATGCCGTGAGTTTAGGTGAATGTGTCTATGCTATACTTGTGGATTGTTATGATCTTGTACGATAGGTCAAATGTGGGGAGAAGTATGTAGTTTATTTCGGATGAGGGGAGCCGAGGGAGACACTGATAATGTAATCATGCCCATGTCCGCGGCATCACATGCTGCTAAGCTTCATCCATCCACTTCCTTCCTCCTACACATGCACTCAACCCACTATGCTATGTTCTCCTTCAACTCAATCTGGAAGCGCGCCTTCAACTCTCCACGCAGCGTCTCTGCAATTCGGGCATTCGTCCACGGCGCCACCATGCCCTTCTCCTGAATCCGACCCTCCAGCACCGCCAACACGCCCACTGCGCAGGGCAACCCCACCAATTTGGCCATGGCGCTGCGCGACCCAGGCCCAACCGGCTCACCGTACTCCACCAGCGTGCTGGTGCGTCTCTCTCGCGATCCATCCGCGTTCTCGATGTCAAAGAGATGCTGCAGCACGATCATATCCCGCTCGCCGGGCTGATACGCCATCTGCCGCTCCAACACGGCACACAGCGTATCCAGAGGCGTGTCACGTCCGTCCACCAGCCGGGTCCCATCGAAGAGTCCCAGCCAGCGAAGGCTTGACAGCACACGATCGATCTCCTCCTTATTCTCGCCCTTCTCAGCGAGGATGACCGAGCACTTCCTCACCACAGCGTCCTGCACATCTTCAGCAGAAGCAGACGCGGCAAGCCCCAGAAGCTGCGCCGTCAACTGCGCCCACGTCAGTCTTTCACTGAAGTTCGACGCAAGCGCCGGGATCTTCTCCTGGGAGAAGTACCCCAAGCCCACCAGCGCCCGAATGACCTCCGGGAACCCCGCGTACCGCAGGGTGCCCCGGAAGACCGTGTGCGCCTCCGGGATGGCGTAGGACTCCCGGAGACCAGCCGAGTCCCGATTGGGATATCCAACAAAATTAAATCCGGGGAAGAGGCCTTGCGCCGTGGCGGCCGCCATCAGGTCCTCCCCTTCCACAGAGGTGATCTGGCCGTCGCGGTACCACTGCGCCGAGTTGAGCAGCGCCAGGAGTCCACCCCGCGGGCTCCACGAGAACTTATACCCCAAGGGATTGTCGGAGTTTTCCGGGGCAGGCAGCGCGCCGCACCAGCTGGTGAACGCGTGGATCTTGCCCCCGGCCCGGTGGACTTCGTCGATCGTCTTCACCGCGTAGAGATGGTCGATGCCGGGGTCGAGGCCGATCTCGTTGAGGACGGTCACGTCGGCGGATCGGGCGCGGGAGTCGAGTTCCCTCAGCGCCGGAGAGATGAAGCTGGTCGTCACGACGGGTTTGCTGTGGGCGATGGCGGCTTTCACGACGATGGCGTGGTAGATGTAGGGGATGAGGGAGATGATTATGTCGGCTTGGGAGACGGTGGCGTCGAGCTTAGCCGGCTCGTTGGCAACGTCGAGGGCGATGGCTGTTGTGTTACTGTAGTTGCCTGCGAGGGATTGTGCGGCGCTGAGCGTGCGGCAGGCCACGGTGACATGGACCCCGGCGTCGGAGAGGGCTTGCACGGCTGGCTCGCAGACAAATCCAGCACCGAGAAGAAGAGCTCTCTTACCGGCGGCAGAGGACATGGTTGATATGGAGGATGGGGGTTTGCTGCTGACAATGGGAGAAATAGACGAAAGGAATGTAGAGTATGTGGGAAGGAAGATGCGCGGCAGAGGATAGACATATGCTCTGACAAGAGTCAACGGCAAGCAAGGCTGGCTACCAAGAATTCCCACTTTCACTGCAGTAGCCAATGGCTTCTTATTTCCCTCATATCTCCGCACTCCATTGCGTGCTCTGCACTATGAGTGTGGTGTGGGCTAAGGTAAGCATATCAAGCGCGGTATGTGATTCATGACTCACACTTGCTTGACCGCAGTGAGTGGCAATTGCATGAGAGCCATTAGCTGATTGTTCTCCTTATCATATTACATAGTAGTATAGCGGCAGTCCATTCAGCAGTGCACGAATTGACAACAACCGTGCGAAGTGCTGCCCCTCAATTACCTTGATGAGCATGCAGTGGACTATGGCTGCCATCCATACCGCCTGAAGCTTAGGTCGCTTGCATAACTACTTTAACCCCTGATTGTGACATAATGCGAATGTTATAACTTGGCCAGGCCATCATGCTTCACTTAGATAACCAGCACGCTGATTAGCAGCATAAAACTCCACACTCACTGTACTGTACAGTATATCCAAGTCAATCTCTCAGTGGCTATCTACACTTAGACGGATTCCGCAAAACAAGTCCCCCTCTATGCATTATCTTCCCACTACTAACTACACACAATATAAACCCGAAGACCTGTAATCATTTCAACAAGAGACAAGAGACAATGGAAGATCCCAAGAATCCCACCCACATACTCACGCTCCACCCCCGGCCACAACCCATCCTAAGAACACACCAACCTATTTATGCCTGCTAGTCACATATCCCAAAAGAGCCTCCAGTAATCACCGAAGACCATTCAAACACCTCATACTTACGAATAAATCGACAGAGCACTTAGCATACACCCCTATCCGCAATATCAACCACCGGCCTACAGGACAGCATCAACAACCCAATGACCTTCGAGAGTCTCAAGCAACACAATTCAAGCCATTCAATGCACACGGAGACAGAGGCAGAAAGCCAGAGTAGCCAAGTCCGGTTGGGTTGTATCCATCAAGCGATCACAATAACACATCCTTCTCGCACAGCGTGGTATACTACATAACTTAGACTCCGGATTCGCAGGGGGATATGTGGTCTCACTCTACGGAACTCCATTTAAAAAAGATAGTGGCTTTGCTCTGCTTCGGACCTATCCGAGAGGACAACTTGACGACCTTGTCTCAAATCATTTGATATTGGCAGAAAAGGTGGGTGGTGTTCTGATATCTGGGCGTTACATCGAGAATACAGTATATTGAACTCGCGCACAACTCAAGCAACAAAGTTAGATCTCAGCGAAACACGAAACAACTAATGATGGCAGATTTCGAAACGAGTGCGCATTATCTCCAGTTACCAATCCACCCCGGGGACCTAATCACAAATGCCCGATACCAATGAGGTCTCATCTCTCAGCTCGTCCCCCTCTCCACCCGCAAACCGACATCATCACTGACGTCATCCCATTCCAATACTCATAAACCTACCACCCAGCGCTCACTACCACCCAGCACTACAGACCACTACAAACCACTTTCAAACCACAGTTTCCGATCCCAGACACCTTTTACACGAAGCAAACACACGCCCACACCCACACGAGCAGATGATCCGATACAATCTCGATACCCTAGTCGAAAGAATTACTACATACAAACACAATGCAATCCACCCACCAACCCGACCAACCCGCCCACCCCCCAAAAGAGGCCGGCTACAACCAAACCTCCAACCCGGTGACACAGACGCCCTACGAGCAGCGCGCACCGCCCCAGCACCCCGAAACCCGACAGCGCGGGGACCCGACCTCCTCCATCACGCGGCGCACCGCCGACTCCCGCCCGGCCAACGATGAGCGCCTGCGCCAGCTGAACGCGGACCGCGAGCAGGAGCGCGAGGCCCTGCACCGGGCGGCGTCGGGGGTCGATCTGGAGTACGGGGTTGAGCAGCAGCCGGCGGAGGGAGAGATCGCCCACGCGGTGGAGAGCACCTCCGGCCGGGCGCGCGCGAGAGCGCAGGCCGGGGCCCATGCCGGTGCGGTGGGCAGCGCCAGTGGGCCCGGGGGCCCAGGGTATGAGAAGGGTTTGGCGGCGGATATGGACCGGAAGGCCGAGGAGCATGAGCGGGTCCTGGGGGAGCGGGTGGGACAGTCGCCGGCGGAGCCGGACGATGATGGGGTGTTGGCGGAGAGGGAGGCCGTCAGAGAGCGGAAGTTGAAGTAGATAGTGAGTTGGATGTCAAGGCGGCGGTCGCCAGAGGCACGGGGGATCCTGTTGTTGGGTGAATGCTCGCGCTTAATGACCTGAGAGGTTTTTGTGGATAGAGCTCGTTTTTGGGAAATGAGGTAAAAAACGATTTTCTGATTCGTTTGTCGTATCTGAGATATTTTGAATGATTAATGTGGACATAATGGTTTTTTCTGCGGCTGTCTGACCAGGCGATGCCGCGAGGGTATCACAGTATATATCAATTTCAGTCATCAGCATCGTCTCCTTCTCCGATGGATACCTTCTTCAATGCCAGATCCTGCTTCAGGTCATTGATGCGCTTGGCCAGCTTGTTCTTAAGAATGGCGTTCGGCATATTCTCCCACTTGACTGTCTCGGCACGAATCAAAGCCTCCAGCTCGTCAATTTCCTCGCGCTGCTGCTGTAGCTGGCGTTGTTGCTCCAGCTGCTCTTCATCCATTTCGTCGCCCGGCTCATCATTATCCTCACCATCCGATCCGTCACTCTCGTCGCCCGATGTGTCGGCTGCTGGTGTGGAGGGTTTGGTCGCCATAGGCGTGCCGGCCTGGTAAACTCCAGCGTCTGAGTGCGGACCGCTCGCAGCACCGGCGGCAGCGGCGGAAGCAGCAGCAGCAGCAGCAGCAGCATCGCCCTCGTCTCCGGCAGCCAAAGCAGCCTCCATTTCGGCTGCGAGAGCGTCCTCGAAATCGTCTTCAAACAGAGCCCCAGCGTCCATACCTTCATCAATCTCGCCCTCTGCATCCTGCTCTTCGTCGTAGTACTCGTCACCGTAGTCTTCATACTCCCCACTTTGCACTATACCCTCGTTCCGATTCAACGAGGCAGCGTCCACCAACTCGTAGCGAGGCGGGGCTATCGAGGCTTCGTCCTGCGCGACCATCTCCTCCACCGCTTTCTCGACCTGTTCGATCGTCCGGGTGCTGACCCGCTCACGGAACCGACGCCTTCTAACCCACCGTAGAGGCGGCGCCAGGCCATGCGGATACTGCAGGTTCTTGTCATCCGTTAGGGAAACCTCGTCCGGTATTGGATAATCCAGAGCCTCCTGTTCATTGGCTACAGGTCCCAGGATCAGCAGCATCTGGCAGATATCCGCAGACTTGTACCATCCGCGCCGATCCCAACTCTTCATACCCTCGATGATGCACGGCAAGTCCACCAGCGCGGCGGCGTACTGGCGGTCGCGGACCTTGAAGATGGCACGGCGGCCTTCGCGCGTCAGCGGCTTGAAGGAGAACTCCGATCGGTCGAAGCGGCGCTCGGCGATGGCACGGCGGAGATATTCACAGTCGTCCCCGGGCAGCATGCGTAGGATAAACTGCTCTTCGATCGCGGGATCGATCTCCGTGTCGGAGGCTTCTGAATCGTAGCCAACACCGGTCGGGCGATTGGGGACCAGCCCCTTGTTCTTGATCCGGATAGACTGCACGCCGGGTTTCTTGGCCGGGTTAATCAGCTTGAGGCGTTTGGGGCCTGCTGCAGCGGATGCGGTCGCGACGGCGGCGGCGGCGGCGGAGGACGGTTCTGGTACCGCGGGCCCCTCTGCTGGGCGCTTTTTGGACGGCTTTTTCTTCTTCGGCTTTTCATCTTCTCCTGCTCCTTCGGCAACGGATGGTTTCCGTGGGATCTTGAGCGTGATCTTGCGTTGAGGAGTCTCGGTCGGCTTGGGCGTAGGAGGGGCAGGCTGGGATGGGGTTGAGGGCGCTGAGGCTTTCGCCTTGTTCTTATTGAAGGTGAGCTTCAGAGACGGCCGGGGGGTCTCCGACATGACGAAAGTTGTTCCACCAGACTGGCGGCGAGTATCAGCTGTCTAGATTCAATAATACAAGGCGGATTCCGGAGGTTCTGAGAGAGAAAATGAGAAATAAGAAGGCGAAGGGTGTAATGGCAAGAGGTGGTGATGAAGGGTGGTAGGCGGAGGGAGGAAAGAAAGGCGGAAGAGCGACACGGCCTGGTTGGATTCCGCTTGTTCCTCCTCAACTTTCCATCCTTATCTTCTCCAATTCATGTGCACGCCTCAACTACCTTGTTCTTCAGCTTGATTTGATCAATCGCCCGATAGAGAAGGCTCCCTCACTTTAACCTGACCTCTATCACACCTCACTGCCATCGAATTCTCCAGCCATGTCCGGCTCCAATCTACATAACGCTCTTCTCCGCCCTCCGATCATTCAAATCCTGCGCGCTGCAGGCTTCCACTCGACGCGTCCCTCAGTCCTAGACACTCTTGCCGACCTCACTGCCCGATACATTATGCTCCTTGCCTCATCCACAAGCGCTCATGCAGCTAACGCCCACCCCGAAGACCCCATCCCCGTGCTCGAAGATATTTACCAGGCCTTACAAGATGCAGGCGCGTTGCGGCCGCAGCTGCGGGAGTGGGAGGAGGAATGGCAAGGGGAAGAGGACATGCGAGGACTAGAAGGGTTTCTGTCGTGGTTCACCGGCCCCGCCAACCGCGAGATCCGGCGCATCGCTGGGTTCGTGCCCAGTGAAGGGGACATGGTGGACGCGGACTCCCTGGAGAAGGAGGACTTCCTGACAGCCCTGAAGAAGAAACACAGCAAGACGGGAGAAGAGTCGCGATATGCGGGGACCGTGCTGGGGAAGAGCGGCGAGGAACACCCGATCGTGATCGAGGGCGGTGCGCCGACCCTGCAGGATTGGGGGTCCCAGATGCGATCCCGTGCACCCTATATGGCCGACAGCGACTCCTCAGTGGTGAGCAGTGCACCGAGCAATTTGTCTGATGGAGAGGGAATGGACGTGTGATGGGATAGATGGAAGTGTGTCGCATTCTATCTACGATGACTCTTTTGGTTTCCTTGGTCACTTTCGACCATGAGACCCAGTACCCCAAGTCAAGCGAGGGATCTTCGCGTATGAGAATATCCCCTTCTACACGTTTGGGACCCAATTCGCTCATTTGACCCCAGTTGGCTGGTCCAGCTGAACGGCATTGCCAGTAGCAGAAAGCCATCCCATTCGCCATCTGGCTGGGGGCACAACCTCCTTCGACCTAAATCGTTGACGCAAAGCACAGGAGCTACGCCATTCAGAATCGCAACATAAGCGGTGTAGCCGAGTCCAGCGCAAACTTGAGAAACAAGAGGACGATGTCATTGCGAAAATGCATCTGAGGGATGGCAGGACAACATGGAGGGTTTTATGTATCTACCTTACTAGGGGCGCAATTCAGGAGCCCCGCGTACTTGAGATGAGCTGGATGTATGAAACATCTCAACCACTAGGATGAATCCTTATGATTCTGTCCTACAATATGAGAACTTCTAGGCAATGCTTGGTTGGCCGGCGGTGGGTGGTTTCATCCAACCGCCAACGGATAACTGATAACTCCGTAGTTCCACCTCCGCTTCTCCCCTCACTTTCCCTCCTCCTTTCGACAACAACTCTCCGCACCAAACACGCCCACCCACCATGGTCTACGCCTTCACCCTTCCGACCACCTCTCATCTCTCCTTTCAGAACTTCCTCTCATCCAGCACACATCCATCCCTCCCGCAAGCAGCCACCACCGCCCGGCATGCCCTGCGTCAGGCACTCAAAGCCCACAAGCGTCTACCCCGCGGCCCGCAACAAGACGCGCACCTATCCACCCTCCTGACCACCCTCACTACCTACCTCCCCTATCTCGAAGCCATCTCCAGCGGTCTAAGCAGCAAGCCCAGCGACGCGACCAGCGAAGAGATCGAGATCACCCTGCACAGCGAAATCGTCACCTTCTGGCGCCCGACTCTCACCACCGCACCCAGCACCACCCTATCACTCAAACACCTCCCTACCTCCCCATCCGCCTTTTCACCCAGCAGCGGAGGCGGAGGCGGCAGCAAATTTCTCGGCGGCAGCGGCCACCGGATCCGCGGCGAGGGCATTGACTTCGAGATTGCCTACGTGCTCACGACGCTGGGCTATGTGCTCAGCCTGCTGGCGCACACGGGGCTGATGCGGACGCTGTACGCCGCGACGACCCCGACGCCGGACCAACGCACCGCCGCCGTCCAAACGGCAACCCGATACCTCCTGCAAGCCAGCGCCATCCACAATCTCCTCGCCTCATCCCCTGCCTTCGCGACCGCCGCCCGCGCCATTGCCGCGTCGACGTCGACAACATCGACATCCCCGCAAGCAGCCACCACCACCACTTCTACCGCAACAACCCCTTCCCTCCCTGACCTCGACCCAGGCACCCAAACCGCGCTCTCCGCCCTCGCCCTCGCAGAAGCCACCCTTCTCGCCGTCCTGAAGGATGACTCCTACGTCTTCGCCTGCATTCAGGCCCGGAATCCCCGGGACAAGGATTGGATGGTGCGGGCGCCGGAGATCCCCAAGGTGCGCGCGCACCTGTTTGCCCGCCTGTGTATCCGGGCGGCCGAGTACGCGGAGCAAGCGGCGGCGGGGCTGGGGTCCGTCGTGGGGAAAACCGGGAAGACCGGTGCCATTGAGGAGGAGCTGCTGGGGTACACGCGGGTGCTGGGACGGGTGGCGCGCGCCCGCGCGTGTCGGTTCTTCGGGGTTGATGCGGAGTTGGCGGGGAAGATCGGGGAGTCGATCGCGTGGTTGCAGGCGGCCAAGGGGGCGCTGGGGGTGAGAAGCCGCGGTGGCGGCGGCGCGAAGACGGAGGCGGAGAAGGAGGTTGGGTCGAAGGGGGGTAGTAAGTTCTCCAGGTTCAAACAGGGGTTCAAGGAGAAACTCGAGGAGAAGAAGATGGAGAAGGATGCTGGGTCGCAGGGTGGTAGTGTTGATAAGAAGGAGCTCGGGCCGGGAGACAATGCGGGGAGAGACGAGGAGGGACGGGTGATTGAGATGTTGGAGACCAAGTGGGTGCGGATGAACAATACGGTTGGTTTTCTTTTCTTCCTGCTTTTGTATGAGTAGTGGGAAATGATGCTGACGTTTGAGACGACAGATTAACACCCAGTTGATACCGCCGTCGGCGGATCTGTTGGCGAATTTACCTTCGGGTCGTGATATTCATGCTCCGCCGGGTGCGTACCGGATCCCCTCGCTGGACGAGGAGCAGCTGGTGCGCATGCGTGCGCCGCCGGCGGAGGATGAGTTTGGGCCGGGCAGCGATGTCGAGGAGAGCGATGAGGAGCCTGCTGGTGTGTCGAGGGTGTGGACGCCTGGGACCGTGCCGGGGCGGACGGATAGTGCATATTATTGATACCCCGTTGGTGAGCGGAGTAGTTGTTTCCAGGTAGCAACATTCGTCTCATACAAAATCGAGTCCTGATCACATTAACTTACCATCCCTTTACTCCAACCCTCTCTTAATTCTCTGCTCTACATACACCAACCTGACCATTCCCGGCAGCCTGAACCAGAAACACAAAGCAAGAGATGATCCCAATGTCGATATTTTCCACCCCAAACAAATGACATGCATAGCATAGGTGAGGAGGTGTGTAGGTAGGTAGGTAGTATAGCTAAAGCAGACAAGAAACAGAAAACCGTAAAGAAGTTTCGAAAAGAAAAACATGTAATACAACCATGACACACAAAAAAAGAAGATGATATAGTATAAACACCATCCCTGGCCCCTGCGATGCTCATCACCAGGGTCATGAAAAGTCCCCTCCCCATCCATTTCCTTCACTCAATTCTATCCCTCCTTTCACTCCTTCAAAGAATTCAAGCAGACTTCTCCTGCGAGAAGTGGTTCTTCTCCTGGAAGAGATAACCCTTGATCTTGCGCTCCCCGAGGAGTTCGAAGTATTTTTCTAGACACCAAGCAGAAAGATATTAGCATATGTCCCAAGCCTCACTGAAAAAAAAAACAGCAGACAACTGAGTGTATGATCCCAGAAAACCCAGCAAATCTCCCGGGAGATAATCATCCATCCCCAATCCTCCTCAGTCTCAACCTCAGTCCTCAGTCCTCAGAACTCAACCACTCCCAAATCCTCGTCCCATGCAACCAAACCCCAAACCCCGTCCAATTCTAACCCCAAACACGCCCAAAGAGAACCACAACAGAGCAAACCACAACAAGAGCAGTCAACCAGACGGAAAAAAAAACACATACCCCTCAAAACCCCACACTTCTCGAGGTGGTTGACGCCCTCGCGCGCATAGCACTTGCCCAGCTCCTCGCCGACCAGCCGCGACATCATGCTGCGGACCCACTGCTCGCGAATGATGGCATCGCGGGCGTTGTGCAGCGCGACGTTGTCCTCGTAGTCGACGCCGTCGTAGGTCGGGGCCACGGTGGGCTTCTTGGCCAGGAAGGCGGCGGATTCCGGGGTGGGCATTTTGGTCGGGTTGGATTTTTTCGGTTTTGTTGCGGATAGGAGAATTCGTTGGCGGAAGGGAGTTCGCTCCGAGATAAAGGCTTGTGGTGCTTAGTGGTCGAGAGGGTTCAATTGCGGATTGGGAGAGCGATGATGGTCGGAGTGTTCGGACGGAGGTTCATGAAGTTCGGACGGAATTGAGAAGAGGATGGAGCAAATGCAATTGAGGGGTTGTGATTGGGTGGAGCGGCTGGGCGGTCTGCGGTGCGTACAAGTTATTGAGCATCCCCATTCAAGCTGGCACTGCGGGCAAGAATACTAGGGTGGGCGGGAGGGAGCTGGTGTGCTGTTTTCATCGGCGGGTTGTGATGATTAGTCATTATGTGTTTTATGAAGGCTGGTTTGCAAATTTGAGTAAGTTACTCGATATACGAGCGATGTTTTATGTGACGACAAGTTCGCTTGAATAATCTAAGTAGTTGACTGAGTTCCTCATCGAATAAATATACTCATACAATGACCGGTACCGAAACGCCTTGCCAATCTACAAAGTCCACATTATTGCACAAGTACCCCCCAAACTCCTCATCTCCTATCATGCAGGCCTCACAAACCCGTCGTAAACACCTATCATTGCGTCTCCTCTTCTATGCGAGGAAAGAGCTTGTCGCGGAGCTCGTTCAGCCGTTCCTTGACCCGCTCCCATGGGGGACGATTCAACTGTTTGCTGTACTCGCGATACTGGTACATCTCACCCCAACAGTCCCGGCCAAAGTTACAGCCTGCCATATTGACCAGGAAATCTCCCTCGTCATAATGAACCTTTGGATCACCCCCGTCGCCGCAAGCGCCAGGAGGGAAGGAGTTGATGTGCCGCTGCGGAAGGAAGCCCACCCCGCTGCGGACCCACGGCTGGTTGGTGTAGAGATACTCCAGCGCATCCTGCTCCTTGTGCTCCCACTCCATATGCTTCTGTTCGTACATCACGGGGTCCCACCAGGCGTCCAGCAATCGATCGGCCCAAAGGGATCGTCGAATGAAGAAGGAGCCGAGGTTAAACCCGCCGCAGTCTTGCGACAGAAGAAAATTGATCGAGGACGTATCGTTATCCCCGCTGGGAGAGAGAGAAACCTGATCCAAGTAGGGCTCGTTGAGAGGATGACTGATACCAAGTGGGTTATAGACGTTGATATCGCGATAAGCAATTTCGTCAAGCCGGTGGAATATATGGTCCTGCAGGGAGTACGAGTACTCCATGATCCAGGTGTTCAGGTCCAACCACCAGAACCTACAACAGCAGGATTAGCCATCACGCACTCCCTCTTTCCCTTGGCTAGTACAACATGACTTACCACTCCGCATCGGGGTATTTGCGCATGGCTTCCCGAATGATGTCAACCTTCTCCCAGTTTTCGCGCCATTCATGTGAATAGCGCTTCTTGGCCAGCATGTTGACCGTCTCTAGCTCGTACCCCCAACGCTTGGCGTAGTGATCCTTGTTCCCAATGCTGTTGCGCTCGATCGCCCATTCCCGCGCGCCCTTCCACTCCATCACTCCTCCTTCGATATTCGACTCTAGGATAATGACGAACTTGCGCCCACCACCCAATGATGACCGTCGGTAGGCCTCAATGATCCCTGTAACAATGGGTCAGTGAATCGTGTGTTGCGCGCGCAAACGACATCTGTCCCTACGTACGTGTCCACAGAAAGACATATCCGAGCGCGAAAGCGACCAGAACCAGTAACAGCCGCGAACGCCTACGTCGAAACACCGCCCTGCCAAATCCCCAGGAGCGCCAGCCGTCACCGGAACTAGTGGACGGGTACCCACGCCCGAATTCGTCCTTATCAACGTAGCCACTCGGGGATCCTGATCCTAGGCGAAAGCGCGGCAGCGTCGCAGACAACTGACGCCTCGACCGCGAGAAGAATCCGTTGTTCTTGGTTGCGAAGGATGGATAGCCTCGCACCTCGTCGCTCTTGGCTTTGGCGACGGCCCATGAGATCCCACTCGGGCCTAGGGCGGTCGGAGAGAGCAAGCCACTGTGAGGCGTGGATGTGCCACTGCCGTGTGTGAATCCGGGGCTGGACCATCCTCCCACCCCCGGCGGGTGGGGAGATGGTGACCGGGAGAACGACATGGGCGGGGTGTCGGGGCCGAACGAGACGAGAAAAGTGGCAATTCCAAGCGAACACAACGGCCACTCAAGCTGAGGTGTTAACGAACAGGTAGTCGGCGCAACTGTCGGAGGAGACGAGCGCGTTGGGAGAGGGATACCGACTCATGGACAGAAGGGCTGAAGAACGAGGAACAGAGAGAGAAAAAAAGGACCCGGAGCGCCGTGAGGGAGAGATATGGTCGACATGGAGGCTACTAGATAACAACAACCAAGCCATTTGAGAAGAAAATTAAAAGTAAAATTAACTGGTGGACGGAAAAGGAATGGGAGACAGGAACAGGCACAGAAACCCATCCGTGAACGGGCCTGCCCGTTTCCGTCGAACTCGAGGGAGTGGATGGCCACTTGTCACTCGCAACGGTTCATTTCCAAGGGCACACGCTAGGGGTGGCCCCAGCAGAACCACACCGTGAGTTCAAGCGGTTTAGGGACGGACAGAGCTACGGCCATGAGGTCGACAGTCACCGGGAATGTAGGTAGTACTGTGTAGAGCCGAATTCTACCCTTCCGCGCGCGCGCGCGCGCCTCTACTTTCGGTGGGACATGGCCATTGTTCATGAAAAGTGCAGATACTTGGGCTGTACAAAACAATTCTGGTGACACGAACACAATGAGCAGCCGATTCTCAGACAAGATTAGGATTGGGGGATTTGCAATCGGTGGTTGGTGGGGGTTAGAGAAAAGGAGATGAAAGACTGTTACCAAAGGAAATTAAAAGCAATCAACCTTCAATGGGGAAGAGCCCCGCCCCCTCGCTTGGACCACAGCGAAGGACTTTTTGTCTGGCTGTTCTGCCTGGCATTCTTCCGGGTGCGGCAGTAGCTGGACCGATCCATCCATAACACTGTCTCATATCTGCCACAGTAGGGATGATCAGGAAGGAGCCTCATGGTTCGAATGTATCGGTTGATTGAGTTCGTGTGCTCATACTGAGTACAACCCCGATATTAATGATGATGGAGAACTTGAAGACGATTGATAGTGCAATTGAAGCTAAGTCGGGCTAAAAAGTAGGGGCTCCACCACACTAATCTCCAAGACTAACCCAATGGGTTGGGAGTTCGTCTCAGGGTCACTCGGCCCGAACTGAGTATGTACAGCCCAGTACAGTACTCTATCGTCTCAGCTGATACTGTAGACTACATGACAACCACCTCGACACTTTTCGTCTCACCACGAGAATAGGAAAATTACCATAAGATGTAAATGTTCTCAGCATATGCAGTAAGTATACAACAGCGTAAATGATCTCACAGGGGGTGTATGTCGTCTGGCTTTTCATCTTCAACATTCAATCGTAGTTCCGTTTCATGGGCGATCAAACAGTAACCCGTCCCAGTTTTCCTGAATTCAGCACAAATCCCAACCCAAAAATAAGTCCCAGCTTTCCAAAAACGATTATATAAAACACCCATGTTCCTATTTGACAAGCCCATTTGGCTCACCTTGGTTTCTGTCCGACTCGGCCAAGCAAGAACCCTCTCACTTCTTTCCATACTCTGTAAGTACCGGAATTTGGTTAGCAGCTTTCTCCTTGGGCATCAGCACTTTGCGCACTGTGAACCCCTTCTCGGTTTCGGGTCGTCGACGCGCGCTGTCTCCATGATAAAACTCGCATTCGAACTTCAATGACTTGTTTCGATGTTGCCAAATAGTAATGACGTCGCCGGTGTAAAGCTTGCCAAAGTGGAACCCCTCCCGATTGTTCTTGTCCCCTTCAGGCCCACGTCGCAGCTCAGTGCCATTTACCCAGATACATTTGCGTGTTTTGGTGGACAGAATGGCCATTACCCCCGGGACAGTTAGCCAGTCTTTGCCTTCGGCGATTTTGGCTTCGATGGCTGGCGCCCAGAAGGTGACCTCCAAGGCATATGCAGGAACCCGTGTGTCCATCGGGTCGGGATAACAGATAGTTGCTTGGGGCCCCCGACCCCATGAAGTCATCCGGCTTTCCAAGCAAAGGGTGAGGTCGAATACCGATCCGGGCAGGGTACTCAACTTGCCAAGGAGAAGTCGAGGCTCTTTCCGTTGAGGCATAGGTTGCGGAATTTGAAGTGGCACCTCATCTGGTTCAGGATCAGGTTCTGCGGGCGGTTCCGGAGGTTCTGGTCTCTTGCTCATATCAGGAAGCTGCTTCCCTGTTTTGGCATCGATGGTATTGGCCAGTTCGATACTGAAGATTTCCACTTCACCGCTTTGATCTTCAGGCTCTTGGGTCTTTTGCTTGGAGAAAGGCTCCGGACTTGAACTATCACTGGCAGTATCAGGCATGGGCAGCTCTATCCGTCGACTGAATATGGCCGAAGGCTTGGGGGTCTCATCAACAACATTGGTCCGCTGTTTCGTGCTCGAAGGTTGCTTGACCGGGTCGCCTATGTTCGCTTTAGTTGGCGGTTCCTGTGCCTCGGCGCCCTGGGGAATGGGACTCGATGTGCCAGGGTCGCGTGAGTTCACGTTCAGCTGCCCAATAAGTTTCTCAGCTCCCATCAAGCTAGGTGCAGATCCGGCAATGGGGTTTTCCGGGAGGGAGAGGATAGAAAATAGGCTGTTGCCGTCGCTTATCATCGACTCACCAGTTGAAGACACAAAGTCATGGATGCTGTAATCATCGCCCTCGAACGCTTCCACATTCTCCCCCAACGCGTGGGAACTGTGGAGGACTGACGGCGTGATCTCACCAAAAAGGCGTTTCGGGGTAGATTGTGCCACTGGCTGAAGGGACGCGAAGCTTTCAATTTCCGGAAGCGATGGGTAATGGATATTGGCAGGGGGGTAATCGAGTTTAATCTTTTTAGATTGAGCCAGGTCGTCCCCCTCTTCATCTAGGATTTGTACCGCGTTCTCGTTGAGCGAAAGCTGGGATGCGTCCAGCTCGTCCTCCACATCTTCCCCGATGTCTGAAAGCTCCTCGACGACGTCAGGGTTGACCTCGTCGTCCCCGTACTGGTCAAGATCGGGGATATTTGCGATCCATGGATGCTGGAAACATTTTTTCTGATTGGGTCGAGAATGGGGATCACGAGTCAAGAGCTGAGCAACAAAGTCGATGCCGTCTTCTGAGACTCCCACTGCACGAAGCTGGGAGTAATCGGCATCCTCGGTCATGATGATTCTAAGCATCTGAGCTCCCCTGTCATCGCCCCTCGGAGCGAATGGAGGGACACCGGCGAGCAAGTGGAAAAGGACGGCGCCCAGCGACCACATATCGACAGATTGACCGTAAGGAGACGTTTTCGGAGGTCTGAACATTAGTACGTTTTCAAGACAGAGGCAGACATCATTCTACTTACGGATCGCCCAACCTACGCCGCTTCTTGATCTCCCCGCGCCGGTATGTCTCATATTCAGGATAAACCTCAGGGGCACAATAGAGCAGAGTACCGCAGAAGGTCCTTAAGAATGTCTCTTCCTGAACTACTTTTGAGAGACCAAAGTCTGACAATTTGACCCTCAGTGGATCGAAAGAGGAAATCAGGATATTGTCGGGTTTGATGTCACGGTGTGTGATCTTGCGGGCGTGCAGATACTGCAATGCATGCAAAATCTGACGGGCCATAGGCTTCACCATGTCCTCTTGGATTTTGCCATGCGATTGTAAGTAGGTTGACAACTCGCCGCAAGGAACGTACTCCATGATGATGTAGATCCAGCGCTCGTGTTCGTAGTGGTCTATGTATTGTACAATGTTAGGCTGGAATGAGTCCAAAGTCATTAGCTATCACGATCCGAAGCGGCGGAAAAGGAAAGGAGGAAGCGTTACATGTTTTAAGTCTCTCATGATTTGCATCTCATTATCAACTTTCTTGTCGAGTATACCGTTTTTCATGAATCGTCGCTTGTCAAGCTCTTTGGCGGCATATACCGCTCCATGCTGCTTGGTCGCGAGCTTATAGACTGTTGCAAAGGCACCTTTTCCAATCTGGCCGGTGACATTGTATGTTGATCCTCCAGACCAGTGCATCCCGTAGGTATTGGAGCCTGACAACTGCAAGGCCGGTGCGGGTGTCGCGCGAGGATTGCGCTGAGTCTTGCCGGGCTGTTGAGGTTGAAGCTTTGAGATCCGCTCGAAGTAGCGTAGTATGTTTTCGGTGTACTGCATCATGTAACCATCCCGGGAGGGCATGCGGACAATGAACCGAACCTCATCTGAAGCGTGGTCTCCATTCATGACTTGAATCACCGAACCATTGACTAACATACGGCTTTTCTCTTTCTGAGTCTTCCGGAGACGGCAGTTGTCCACTATCGTACCATTGGTGGAGGTATCTTCGAGCATGAGAATGCCGTCCTGGGTCAAGAAGATACGACAGTGCGTGTTAGAGATTCGTCCCATATTGCCCTGCGCTGTGAGCAAAAGGTCGCAGCGGGCTGGGTTTCGTCCGAAGTAGAAACCGGCACATGGGTCGCGTACTTGGGATGATAGGCGAAGAGCGAAGTCCAAAGCAGCAGTATCAGAACATTCATAATCTAATGCGTGTCTTTGCAGAATGTGCTGGGGACTTTGGCGGGCGGTCGCTGCCACGGCTTCGTGCGCTGCAGGCGAGTTGGGGTGTAGGATACAGATGATGTCTGTCACATCATCTTCAAGAAGACCAGAGTTGTTGTAGCCAGCACGGCGAGGGTCCGTACACGGCTGGGTTGATTCCTGAGTTGCCTCCATTTGTGATGATGACAAGCGTTTGCAGTGAGTGATAAAGACAGGCGTTCAAGCTGTGAAGCGTGTATATGGGCAGAGATAACGTGAAGCTATAGACAGAAAAAGACTGGGAGTGAAAAGGTAGTGTGTTCGTGATTAGTCGTGAAAATGCAAGGAAAGATATGCGTAACCAAGGCGATTACCAACACGGCTGATCCGCACGGCTGCATCCAAGTATAAGCCTCTGCAACATCCACTTTCCCATTTTATGCGTGCGGTTCGTGATACAAAGCGCCAAGTGCTCTTACCTCGCGAGAACCAAGAACTAGCGCCTTATGCACACAGTGCTAAGTCTTGTTTATCCCGGGGCAAGCTCTTGAAAACCAAGGTAGTCTGTCCACAACGGTTGATACTGCCTGGTTAGTTGTCACCGGCTGTAAGCAGATTAACTATGTATCGCGCGCTCTAGCACCAAAGAAAGCAAGATCAAGCTGGTGTGGTATTTGAGCTCTTGATCGACTCGAGCTTCGGCGAGCAATCGTACGCGTTGTGTATGTTCAAGCCCTCGATGCAGCGCAAAGCTGACTCAGTGAAACAAGGAGTGAAGGGAGCGGTGTCGACCGGGCCGTATGGATCGGATAATGCGAGCTTTCATCTAAGCATATCTAAAGCCGGCCACAAACCATTATTAGCCAAGATGCCTCACGATCGATAGAATTGTTCCACGGGGAAAAAGAAAACCGAACTTACACGATTGACGTGCTCTCCCCGCCAGCCACCCACTCACTACAAGTCCAGATTGCTGCGATGGTCTCAGCTTCGAAGGCGGAACCAACAATAGAGACGAGAGAAGAGGCTGTCCGGCAGGCGGCGTCGTCGGAGAAACATGCAGCAAGGCGAAGAGAAGGCAAGGCTGGGGGAGACTCGGAGGCACCGCTCCACTAGCAGCAAGTTGTTTGGTTATTTTGAGCTCCCGCCGAAGCCCCAGGCATCAACCCAAGCCACGGGTGCGCTAATCGGTGCCTGGCCAATTGGAGTCCTGGCCTGAGAGGCGGGCGGCAGTTACACCACTTTGGCAAAGATGATCCGTGGATGAAGCCGGTAGCTACGGAGTACTAGGTAGGTATATTTGCTCTCATCCAGTTTACTCATAGTTACATGTACATGATATTGAAAATATGCACTGTCTTGCATCACAATTTGCCTTTATCTATCGTGTGCCGTACGGCTTACTCGAATCAGTACTACCTTGATATTTTCCACTCAATGCCGTGTTGAAGACTTGTTCCAGCCGAGCGATAGCCTCCGTGGATACCTCTGTGCTTAAGGTTATGGCCTGAAATGTCAATGATTCACGAGGAGCGAGAAAGGCTTACGGTAGTGAATAACAATCCGATTCCCCGACATTTTCAAGCCTTTCTCCTGGGCGATGGTCGAAAGGTCATTGGGCCCTAGTCCAGACGCTTGGAGGTCCAGCCAGACCATGTTGGTCTCCACTGGGTGGGCGAGCTTGCCACCCAGGCCAGTCCAAAGTTGAGCAACCTTCTTTGCAGTCTGATGGGATTCCAGAAGCTTTCCTTGTTTGCCATGAGGGTCAGGCCCAAAGGTCTCTTCAACAGCGACGCGGGCGGCCGCAGCCAGTACTCCCGCTTGACGCACCCCACCCCCAATGGTCTTCCGGAACCACCGAGCTTTTTTGATGAAATCGGCGGACCCTACAACGATACTGCCGATAGGAGCACCCAAGCCTTTGGAGAAGCACAGACTTACGCTATCAAACAGAGTGGTGTATTCTGGCAAGCTACCCGCTCCAGACACTACTGCTTCCCATAGTCTCGCACCATCGAGGTGCACCTTGATGCCGTTTTGATGCGCCCAATCAGTGATTCTTCGAGCTTCTGCAAGCGGCATGACCCTCCCATCCAGAGTGTTCTCGAGACTGATCAACTTTGTTGGACAATAGTGGATATTGTCACTCAGAACGGCATGCTCCTGGATGTCCTCCAGAGTAAGGTAGGTGCCATTTTTGGGAACAACCGGGAGGACAGTTGCACCGGTCCAAGAGCTGACACCGCCTGCCTCGTAGCAGAAGATATGTGCACGGTGATCACACAGCACTGAGTAGGGTGGCTCCTTGAGATGGGTGCGGATAGCCACCTGGTTACCCATAGTGCCGGACATCACCAGCAAAGCACGTTCATGCTGCGTCCGCTCTGCCACGTATGCTTCCAGGTCATTTGTTACCGGATCTTCACCGAAGACGTCGTCGAGAAGGGTGGTCTGGCAGATAGCTTCCAGCATTGCGGGAGTAGGCTTGGTCATGGTATCGCCTTTGTTGTTTTATTTAGTAAAATCCGCGCATCACAGCGTTGTCCATGAACTCACTTCTGAGATCAAACTCAGCGGCGCCAGCACCCTGCCACGTGCTGGGCCTGCTTCCATTGCTATGCGAGACAGTTGATGTGCTGGCCATGGCGAATCGAGGGGAAGATGCGATTCGTGAGATATAAACCAAGGGTCTCTGAGCGGATGGGTTCCGGAGAGAAAGACGGGTGAGGTATCTCATCAAGACTTTTATACTCACAGTAAAGCAGAAGGAGGGGTGGGGGTTAAATTAAGAGCAAGTCGGAAGCCGTAACCCGTCAAAGCAAGCCCGAAGCCGACAGGGAAGAAGAGGGCCCGGGGAGGAGCGAGGGGGACCGCAGTGCCTATGCGGGGTGCCCAATCTGCTGGGCAGAACTTCCCGACCAGCAAGATACCACCGTTCCGAGGCAGAGGGGATCCAGTCGGGTTCCGTTCCATAATTCATGACTGTAATTGTACGAATAAGACTGTAACACAGTAAACAACGCTTGGTGTCAGCCTATGACGCCACGCCAAACGCGCGCCGTCCTTATCGATAGTCCCAAAGGGGAAAAGGTCGACCCGCCGACGTGTCCCCAGTTGGTTGCTGAGTCAGCAGTCGAGACCTCGGGATCTTCGCGGGTAGGCAGGTTTGCGCCCTGATGGATTCGGAACGTCCTGTCTCAACTTGCGACCTCCCCCTCTCCTCCCCCCCCCTTCCTCAGAGAAGCGAAATTTTGCTACAGCGACACAACCGACCATTACCTAATTGTCCCAGGGCGTGGGTGCCACGCATCCCCCCTCGCTTCTCCCTCATCATGTCTGCCACCATGGATCTGTCCCGCCTAACTCGACCCGCGATCCTGTGCCAGTGCTCGCGATGCTCCAGCTCTCTCGCCGCCTTGGAGAACGAGTGGGCGAAGCTTTCGAACTCCTACTCCATAGCGGCGGGGTGGCTGAGTGTTGAGCTGCATCGCATTTCTGTCTCCTCGGAGAAAAAGCAGATCCCCCAGTCCTCGGAGTTGAGCAGATTGCGGGGTCGCATCCTACAGGAAGTCTCCTGCAAGCTTTGCCAGCAGAAGCTGGGTGCGCTGTGCGCCCTCGACAATGGGTAAGAAAGGAATGATGTTAAGTCTTCTTTGTGTTAGGCTGACAACAATTCCTAAGTCCAAACATCTTCTGGAAGCTTTCCAAGGTGTCATTCAGGGAGATCGTGACCATGCGTACCGTCGAACCTACCTTTAAAGATGGAGCGCTCGAACGTCTGATATGCCCACCACAGGAGCAACGACGAGATAGGGCCCTTTTTCAGCCAGGCGCTTTAGTCCCGACTGGATCCACGGAGCTGGAGAGTCATGGGATCTCGGTGGAACAACAGATTCAACACCAAGGTCTTAGCCTTGATCATATTTCCAGCTCTGTCAGCAACCTTCACGATACCATGTTCGAACTCAAACATGCATTTACCGCTCTACGCATCGAGTTGAACGGCCCCGGTCGCTTCGGACCAGATATGAACAGCCCTGCTAGCAAGGACCTGATGATCGCAACGGTGTTGAAGGAGCTCCGATCGAAGTCCGAGGAGATCGAACGACTCAAATTGGAGATTGAAGCGTTGAAGTTAAAGAACCGCTACGTGGAGGAACAACAGTCGGCTAGACAACAGGAGCAACTACCCCCCTCACTACCGATATTGACTGTGGGCGAAATGCTATCGGAAGTACGGAGTCCAGGACTACTGCAGGGGAGCAGGAAGCGGCCGTGGCCCGACTCGTTCCCAAGTGGTCGAACCCAGCCGATCGGGGACTCGTTTGACGATGACGATGACGATGAGAGTATTGGCGACTTCGCTCTGGATGGTAGAGTTACTATACCAGCCGTCAAGATTCCACTCAAGGATCCACCCCTCCGGAATTCAGAAACGGTTCATACGACGGATACGACGACCCGCGAACCAAGCCCCTCGGGGTCCGCTCGATTGCGCATCGAAGTTAGCCAGTCCCGACATCAAACACCACACCGCGATCACAATATGGACGGAAGCCTGGAAGCTTCTACGAACTCGCAGCCAAGGGAGCCAGTCCTTAAACGTCCCCGGTTGGCTCAACCGGCTGATAAAAATTCCACCAGCGCGAGGAAGGCAGGCCGGCCCCGCAAGTCATTCAGCCAGACCACCAAACCTGACATTTTCTCTCACACCAAGCCCGCGCCACTCGTCGAACAAAACACCAACAACATTAACGGTGCCAATAACCCCAAGGAAACGGCTTCTCTCGCCGCCACCAGCCCCAGTGTGCCAGCCCCGGTCCAAGAACCTCGCCGGACACGCTCTCGGAGCCTCCGAAGACGGCAGTCTGCAAACAACCTATTCTCCGCGCCAGGCCAGTCACTCCCCAACGGCCATGTGAATGGCGAAACCTTCAACACAACCGAGTTGAACCCACCCAGTGCCGGCAAAGAAAACCCCCCTGTTGCCATGAACGACGTCCAGGCCACGGACACCAGCGAGAAGCGCAAGGCCCAGACCGCCGCGCGCGACGTCATGGTCCGACTGGCCATGCAACGCGAGGAGGCCATGGAAACAGATACTTCTCGATGAAATATCGGTGAAGGCGGGAATTCTCTCAGATTGCCTCCTCCTCTTAGCTAACAAAACATTCTCCGATTCAACCCCTCCTGTCCTTTTAAGAACCCACAAGCTTGGCCTTCCAAGGTTACCCTGCTTTTTCTTTTGTCTTCTTCGGCGCACGAAAAGTGTCCCTTCATTTTCTCTTTACCGGCGTATCGGTGAATAGGTGGGTGGGGGAATTCGGTGGACGGGTTATAGATTGTGTCTTCTTTGGTTCGAATAACAAAACACCCCCCCAAATAATATTTCATTCTTCCGTGTGAAGTCAAAGCTACAATCTACCTCCCTTGATCAAGATAACAATCAGATGGTATCTATGATTCATACATGAAATCCGGACCGCAAAGCTCCCAAAAGTAGAGCCACTTAGTAATCCACCGAGGAATCAAGTGGTTTCGATATATGAAGTTCTACTACAAAGTAGGTAGATAATGGATTCGAGATCCGACCCCCCATTTTACTATCCCAAGGCACCAACCGCCCTGAATACCGGGAAACACACACACACACATACACAGAGATTATTTTACACACATGAACCCACAGCCCTCGCGGGCCCGCTCACAGGCCTTCTTGAGCGCCTGCTCCTCCGTATCCGTCCACTTGACGCTCAGCTCATCCCACGGCTTCTTGGAATTATACTCCTCGCGGAACAGCTTGTGCATCGCCTGCAGACGGGCGACCTCGCGCGGGTCCCCGGTGCCCGAGTAGACCATGAACAAGGTACAGGGCGGGAGGGCGTCGTAGATGCGCTGGATATTCGCGACCGTCCGGCTGGCCACGTCCGATAATTGCGGCGTCGTTGCTGGGCGCTCTTCTTTTGTTTTCTCCTCAGAGGGTAACGCCGTGCTTGTGGCTGCTGCTGCTGCGGTAGGAGCGGCATCACCGGACGTTGCTGTTGTTGTTGCTGTAGTTTCCTCGGCGGCAGGAACTACGGCCGTCGATTCGTTGGCGTTGTTGGGGTCGGGTAGACGGTTGCAGAAGCCACGGTGAAGTTCGAGTTCGCGCAGGCGCGCCCAGGTGAAGTCTACACCGCCGCCGGGGATGGAAGGGTGGGTGTCGTCGCCGTTGACGGCGGAGGCGATGCCGTTGACGACGTCGTTGTCGTCAACACAGCCGATTGCGACGGTGGCCTGAGCACCGAAGCCGCGCTCAGGGTTGCCCCAGTCGACGACGGCGCCGGTGCGGCCTTCAGGGGTATTATTGGTCGTGTTGTTGTTGTTGGTTGAGGGAGTGTGCTTGCCAGGCCGGGTGGAGCGGCCAAGACGTTTAAAGATGCTTTCATTGGAGTTGTCGCCTGTGCCCCAGCGCTCGCCCTTCTCGCACTTCTGCTTGACGAGCTCGAGCACGGCGCGGGCGTCTTCGATGGAGTCGTGGCCGGTTTGGCCCTTTTGAATCTCCTTGCCCATGTATTTTTGAGTGAGCCACTTCAGGCTGCATTTGAGGGGCGGGCCGCGTGGGTGGGGGTAAATGAAGGTGGTGTCGACGATGAAGGGATGGGTCATCTTGAGGGCGTTCATATCGGAGTTGAGGGAGTGGCCGACGAGGATGGCTCGGGGAGTGAGGATGGTGAGAAGCTTCTGCTGAATGTCGGCGAGGGTGGTGGTGACGGGGTCGAGCTTCTCCTTGGTGATGCCGGAGAATCGAGTGAGGTAGTCGATAATGGGCTTTTGTGGCTTTACGAGTTCGTCGAGTACAACCTCCCCGTCCCAGCGGACCAAGCTAATCCGCGTGAGTTCGGACTGGCCTCCCTCCGTGATACACATTTCGCAATCCAGCGCCAATACGTCCCGTCCAGCGGTCATGCTTCCCTGCTGGATCTCAGCCTCCGGTACCTGGCCAGCCTCTAGACTTTCAACGTGGGTATCAACCCATCCATCCTCTGCAGATTGACCGGCTCGCTTGCGGTTCTCCGCTAAAGTCAACCTCTCTTGCTCGCTGGCCAGGAGAGCCGGATGTAGGACGTAGTCGTTTTCGCGCAGATCTGCGACGGAACTGAAAAACGTAGTGATTGGCGTTCTCTGGGAAGCCTGGTTCTTGTCGACCCTGACCGGTTTCGGACCTTTCGTGTTGTTACTCTCCTTATTCTTCGGAAGTGGCGTGAGGAGCATCGCCTGGAGCGGCGAGTGCACTTTGTTGTACTTCGTGTCTCCAGGCGCCTTCACCGGCCAAGCGTGAGGGAACATATCGGCCAACGGCTGCAGAGGCTCTGGGAGACTCTCCCGCGTCAACGGCCGCGGGTTGAACCGGTGGGACCGATCCTCCAGAGGCAGGCCTTGCTTCCACCGGGCAAAGTCCGCCGTCTTGGGATCCTCCTCCTGTTTCTCCATAGTTTCTGTATCCTTGTCCAGGTCCATCTGTTCGCCGGTCTCATCCTGTGCCAGCGGTATAGTTCCATCCAGCATCCCAAGTTCCAGGCCGGGTACCATCACTACCACAATCTTTCGAACATAGCCGGAGTGCTTGATGGAGATCCATTGTGGTGCAATGCCATCAGCGAAACAGTATAGAAGCAGGCTCTGCAAATCTGCGATCCGAATAGATGACTGTAATCGCCCTTCGACGTAGGTGAGGACGGGGTACTTGGTCTTGACACCATCCACTCGCTTCTTCTTGCTCGGTCGCTGAGCTCCATTCTGCGCCTTATCGGCCCCGGTGTCGGGCGTCGCAGAGTTCTCGTTGTTGCCGTTTGATTCCGATGTCGACCTCTGAAGGGATGCAAGGGTCTGGGCGACTCCGAAGCCGTTCCCTGTGTCTGGGTTGGTTTTCACGGGACTTTCGTTGTCCGAGCAATCGGCGTGCTTGCGCTTTCTGGATCCGGCCATTTCTGGGTTGACAGCGGCAATAGGTGGAAGTGTCTGAGAAAGCTTACCCAGCTACACCGGTTCCAGCAAGTTAGTTCAAGAGCCGGTTCAGACACGAAACCGCCTTCTAGACCGCCGCAAAGATGTCGCAAGGACTGGGGTGATTTGCTTGACAATTGACAGTCTCGGGTGTCGCGCGGTGAAGATCCTATCAATTTCAGGGTCACGTGATGATAGTGTATCGCAGGCGGTGATGAGTTGTGGTTGCTGCAGCGTCTGCAGGAGGGTTGCATCTGTAAAACATGCAGGTCGAACCTGCGCGGGGTCCGAGAGCCATTACAGAATAGGTTTCGAAGTAGCTAATTACATGGTTACGAATGACCTTTGAGCAAGGCCTCCGAGAACATATGCAGTTCAATGAATAGATCAATTTCCGATAAGAGTCCATCCCGAGGGCAAAGTGATTACTCATCCTAAAGCTTTCTTTCCTCGGTTCCCACCAATTAAACCCGCCGTAGAGCGCCGAAGATCGCAAGATGGGTGGAGGAGGAGGAGGAGGAGGAGGAGGAGGAGGGAGGGGGGGAATAATTTACATTGTAGCTGTATTACAAAACATGGTTCGATCTGATAAGCGGCCAAAATTTCGCCATCGATCATCCTTTCCCTCTTCTTCCCTCGATTGTTCCATTCATAGTACCTGGTGCTTTCTTATTGTCTTTGCTACCTTGGTCACCTATTCTCTTTCCCATCCTTCCTACTCAATATACTCACCAGATTGAGTATCACAGCCTGTTATACGAAGCAAATTCAAAAGCAAACAACTTCTCCTCTCATCCAGTGCAGCACTCTCGACACACACACCCCTCTGAAGGTCCCCCTCCCTCCCCCCGCCGCCGCCGCCGCCGACCTCGCCCGCCGCCCGCGCTCGCTCATATTCTCCCCCACCCCACGCCATCGTAACAGTCACACCCACACACACAAGACTTCTACTTGATCCTTCCCTCTCCCCTCCTGCCCTCTCTCGAACCCACCAGCAATCGAACCCAAACCAAAAACCAAAAAACAAAAACCCACAATGTCCGCCCTTATCGAAGTAGCCACGGAGGCCGAGTTCCCGACCTACCTCTCCTCGCTGCCGCCGACCTGCCTTCTGGTGCTGTACTTCCACGCCCCCTGGGCGGCGCCCTGCACGCAGATGCGAGCCGTGCTGTCGGCCCTGGCCTCGCAATACCCGGCGACCAACCCGCCGACGACCGCCTTCCTGAGCGTTAACGCCGAGGAGCTGCCCGACATCTCCGAAGACTACGACGTCACCGCCGTGCCCTTCGTCGTCCTCGTCCGCGACGGCCAGATCCTCGAGTCCATCAGCGGTAGTGAAGCCGTGCGCGTGCGCGATGCCGTCGAGCGGTACGCCGGCGCCGGCAGCAACACGACACAACAAACCCAACAACAACAGCAGAAGACCGCCATCCCCCCGCCATTGACCGCCGTGCCCCGCGAGGACGCCTCCGCGCCCACGACCGCCACCCAGGCGCCCAACGGAGCCATAGGCGGAGCTGCGCCGGCGGCGACGGCGGAGACAAAGGAGGCCCTGTTCGCGCGCCTGGCGGAGCTGGTCAAGGCCGCGCCGGTCATGCTGTTCATGAAGGGTACGCCCAGCGCGCCCCAGTGCGGTTTCAGTCGGCAATTGGTCGGGATCCTGCGCGAGCGCAGCGTCAAGTACGGGTTCTTCAACATTCTGGCCGATGAGGACGTGCGCCAGGGTCTGAAGGAGTTCGCCGATTGGCCCACTTTCCCCCAGCTGTGGGTGGATGGCGAGTTGGTCGGTGGGTTGGATATTGTATGTTCTTTTCTTTTTCATTTTGCCTCTTTCTTTTTTCTAAGCAAGTCAAACGTGCTAACGTCTCTCGCAATTACAGGTTAAGGAAGAACTTGAGAATGACCCGGATTTCCTCGCCGCGTACTCGGTTAACAAGGCTGCGTGAGTATTATAGAATAGGTCTGCTTTGTTCGGGTTCCCTGTATTTTCCTCGTCATTTTTCTTCATTCCAAAGATACTTCCTAGTTGTCAAGTTCTCTCTCAGATCTAGCGATGGATATTGAGAAAAAATCAAAAGATTTAATTATTGTACCACCGGTTTCAGTTTCTTCCGTTGCCTTGCCGTCTTTGGTTTTGTGCCGCTCGAAGTAATATGTCCGTCTTACATTCTCTACATGGAAGCAAAATCTGCGGTGTATGTCCTCTCGTAGAAGTCATGCGATATATTGTTTATGAGGGACAGATGAAAATTTGCAAGTCAAGCAATCCGCTTTATTCGGGCATCTAGCCATGCAGGGCGAGACACATGCATATTTAAGTATGGCGCGATGAAGGCATTCAAGACCTACGACTTCTCCTCCTCCTCCTCCGCTCGCCAAACGTTTGCCATCCAGTTTTCAGGATCCTTGTTCCGGCGGGCTTGATTTGGCGTCCTGGGAAACATAGGGCTGTAGTCGCGCTCATTCCAGATATTTCTAAAGGCCCGGTTGCGGATCACAGTGCGGACGCGGGAGAGCACGGCATCCTCGTCGACGTACGCACCGGCCAGCCAGCGGTCGCCCTGGGCGGTGTTGAAGGCGCGGCGGGCGTGCACGACGCGCCGGTTCTCGAAGATGACGCATTGGCCCGGCTCGAGTTTCAGCTCGAAGACATTCTTGGGGTCCTCCAGCTTGGCCGCGAAGTACGCCAGCGCCTTCACGGCCAGAGCGTACTCGCCGTGGTCCTTGTAGCGATCCGTGATGCTCGCCTGGAAGGGCGGCGAGTAGTTGACGCGGGTCAGCCGCCGCCGGAGGCCCTCCCGCGGCAGCGGGAACTCCTGCTCGAACACCGGCCAGGTGTTGCTGTAGAAGTGATCCGCGTGGTTGTACTCGTAGGTCAGGTCCAGCCGCGTCAGCGCCTTCCAGTACGGCCGCCGGTCATGGTACATGGACCGCGCCACGTGGAAGGCGTCGGCGAAGAGCGACTCGCCGCCGTCGCACGAGTTCCGCAGGCAGTGCAGCAGCTGGAACCCCGGGGGCTCGTTCATGTACATCAGGTCCATGTGGAAGTTCAGGAACTGGTTCGTGTAGGCGACATTCTCGGCATTGGGCTTGTTGCGCACATCCCAGGTCGGGCCGTAGAACGTGTTGCGGAGGGGACCGAGCCGCGTCGCGATCTTCTCGACCTCGGCGCGCGAATCCGGGATGTTCTTGACGAAGATGAGTCCTGTTTCGGCCAGGCTCCGCAGGGCCAAGGCGAATTCTTCACTTTCCTGCATGAAATCCTCGTAATCGACCCAGTACACATGTTCTTCGATCGTCGCACGGTTCCAAATCTTCCGCCACCGTCTCTTGCTGCTAGCAACCTCCAGGAGTGGCGCGAAGACGCCGTGTTTAACATGATCGATGTCGTACTGGGATCTGTGGATCTTCTCGCCACTTGCCATTCCCCGGTCCCAATCTACCACCATTCTCTTGTTATTGATCTCGATAGACCGCGGCTGGATGTCAAGGGGTATGTCGGTGGTGCGGAAATTGCGTTGCTTGGTAGACGGGTCCACGCACTGCGAGCATTTGCATGCATCGCGCAGCGTGTGATAGAGTACCGAGAACTCCCTCCGTCCAGGTTGCTTGATCAGAAGAGCATCCTGTGTCGCCTGGATGTCATCCACCCATTTACCTTGGATTTGGATAGGGATCCGCAAGGGTCTGACTGACGGCCGACCTTCTTCATTGACGGTGGTGCGGTCACGTTCAGGGTGAGTATCTTCGAAGGCGGCGCCTTGGTGGTCGTCTGGGTCGAACTCAGATTCTGAAATGAGAACGGAAGGATTCACTGGAGCAGGGGACCGTCCATGCCCTGCTGAGATCTCGGCTTCCTCCTTCTTTTCCTGCCATAGAATTGGTGTCTTTGCGTAGCTGCGGCGGAGTGCGGGGGTGAGAGCTGTTGCAATGCGAGGAGATCGCAGGAGGCTTCTTTTTAACAAGGACGCCATGTCGATCTCACTTCATCTGAGCTCCGAGTGCTGCTGCACAAGATGAGGCAGAAGCATATATTTTAGCAACCGGACTAAAGGAAAGAAGGGAAGGAAATCATGGAGGGGAAACAAAGCACATCAGCTAATAGTCAAGAACGAGAGCCTCGGCTCGGAGGTCGAACTCTTTCTCCGCAATCCTCATCGCGCTTTCTTCTCGCTTGTGGACTAGCCTCATGCCGCTTTAATCTGCCAGGCATTGTTATCACCGGAAAACAATTAAAGCAACACCACCTGAACATAGACATGGTGCAGAGAGAAATTCATCAGTGAATTTGTTATTCCTGAACAAAATCACGATGCGCTCCCTCCTTGCTCTAAGACCAACAATGGCGCGTACAACGGGCCTCAGCTCACGTCATCGCGCGCGGGAGCGCCTTTCATTTTTTCTGGCCCTGGGCGATCATCTATCGCCCCGACACAATCATTGCACCCACTTAACTACACCCCGACTGCGTGTTATCGGCGCATTCACTATCTGAGTCGCACTAAACCTAGCCGGCTCCTGTTCAATTGGAGGACTAGACCATCCAGATTTCACCTTTTGACGTATTCCTGACCCAATCGCCGGTTCAACTTGTTACTCTGTCAAGAAAAGTCGCATACAAGTATTGTGGATTTTTCTCCCACGCCGCAAGCCAGATTCAAATGACCTTCTATCAGGTATAAAGCTACATTTGAGATCAGATCAATCACCAGCGCCTGCGCGCGAAAACCCCCGCCGATCTTTCTGGTTTTAATATCTCCCCAATTGACCCTCAGCAATCACATGCATGTCGGCCGGGGGCGAACACCTCAAGGATGAGGTGAGTGCATGGATCTGGGCTTGGCTGGACTTCTTTTTCTCTTCTTGCGACTTTGCAAGTCGGTCTTGCTCTTATCTACCTACATTCTGCATACACCTTCACACACATCAAGCCCAACTCGACTAACATGTCCTTCCTCAGGGGTCGCGACGGCAAGTCGTCCTCGCGGGCGGAATCGCAGGCCTCTTCTCACGGTACGTTATAGTTTTTCCCAAGCATCGCAACCACCTCGCGGTTTGCCCCCAAATTGCTTCATTGAAGCCCAAGCTGACCAGAAACCCAAAAACACACCAGATTCTGCATCGCCCCCCTCGACGTCGTGAAAATCCGCCTCCAACTCCAAATCCACTCCCTCTCCGACCCAATCTCCCACCAACATGTCACCGGACCAGTGTACAAGGGCACGCTATCGACGATGAAGTCGATCCTCCGCGAGGAAGGAATCACAGTGCGTTTTCCCAGGCTTTCCCTTCCCCGAAAATCACCAAGCATACCCAGCCCCAGACCACATCACTTACAACTAGAAAAAAAAAAACAGGGTCTCTGGAAAGGCAACGTCCCCGCGGAACTCCTCTACCTGGCCTACGGCATCATCCAATTCGGCACCTACCGCACGACGACCCAAATCCTCGCCACCGAACTACCCAATCGCCTGCCCCCCTCAGCCGAATCCTTCATCTCCGGGGCCCTGGCCGGCGGCCTGGCCACCTTGTCCACCTACCCGCTGGATCTGCTGCGCACGCGGTTCGCCGCCCAGGGCACGAAGCGCGTCTACACGTCGCTGCTGGCCTCGGTGCGGGATATTGCGCGCCAGGAGGGCCCGCGGGGCTTTTTCCGGGGCGGCAGCGCTGCGGTGGGCCAGGTGGTGCCGTACATGGGGTTGTTCTTCGCGACGTATGAGGCGCTGCGGCCCGTCGCGGCCACGCTGCCGCAGCAGGTGCCCTACCTGCCGGCGGGCAGTGGGGATGCGGCGGCCGGCGTGATGGCGAGTGTCTTGGCCAAGACCGCGATGTTCCCGCTGGATCTGGTGCGGAAGCGGTTGCAGGTGCAGGGCCCGACCCGGCTGTTGTACGTGCATCGGAATATCCCGGAATCTCGGGGGGTCTTCAGTACGATGGCGATGATTGTGAGGACGCAGGGCGTTCGGGGCCTGTACCGTGGACTGACGGTTAGTTTGTTCAAGGCGGCGCCGGCCAGTGCGGTGACCATGTGGACGTATGAGACTTCGCTGCGCGTGCTTCAAGATATGGAGGTCGCTGCCGATTGAGCGCGACTCTCTGGGTGGCAGCTAGTTGACTTGGCTCGGAAACACTAGACACGACACGCCAGCCTTTAGAATAGCATCTTGTAAATTATTCAACGACCTAATAGACATCATTCACAATTCACCTTGGCCGTGTTCAGACCGCAGACTCATCACAGCATTACAGATCCCGGAGCACCTCTAGCTTTTTCTTCCGAATTCTCTTGGCCAAAACAATTGAAGCCAAACGAGGCAAAAGCAGGAACGGTCAAGAGGGGGCTGAGGAAAGCAAAAACAGGAGGGGGTGTCAAACACGCTAAAAACGAAAACAAAGCATTCGGCAAACCACGGCGCAAAAGCAATCAAAGCAGAACGCGGGATAACACTCAGTACTCTGCCTCCAGGTCCTCGGTTTCCAGGCTGTCGCCGGCAACCTCCTCGTAGTCCTTCTCCAGCGCAGCCAAGTCTTCGCGGGCTTCGGAGAATTCGCCTTCCTCCATACCCTCACCCACATACCAGTGAACAAACGCGCGCTTGGCATACATCAGATCGAACTTATGATCCAAGCGACCCCATGCTTCGGCGATTGAAGTAGTATTCGCGAGCATGCTGACCGACCGATCAACAGGAGCGAGCTCGCTGTCAGGAACGCGCATGGGTTTCTGGAAATTGATGCCCAACTTGAACCCTGTAGGGCACCATTCGACCAGGTGGAATGTATTCTTGGCTTTGACAGCGGCAATAGCCTGGTTACAGTCGCGCGGGATAACGTCACCGCGGTACAACAAAGCAACCGCCATGTACTTGCCCTTCCGTGGGTCGCAAACCACCATCTGGTTATGGGGCTCGATACCTGGAGAACATTGTCAGATATCGCCTCTTCATATCTACGAGCGAGCCTCGACACCATGCAGAGCACGTACACTGGAAGGTCAGATCCTGAACTTTAAAGCTCTCGTGCGAGCTGCGGTTGCTTGAAACCACAGGTGCAAAAGAGATCAATGGATAGTGAATGCGAGGGAAAGGAACCAGGTTGGTCTGGAATTCGGCCAAGTCGACATTCAGGGCGCCCTCAAAGCGGAGACTGGAGGTAATCGAGCTCACTACCTGAGCAATAAGGCGGTTGAGGTGGTCGTAGCCAGGACGTGGGATATCCAGGTTGCGGCGACAGATCTCGTAGACAGCCTCGTTGTCAACCAAAAAAGTGCAGTCAGCATTCTCGATTGTGCTGTGTGTCGACAGGACCGCGTTGTATGGCTCGACAACTGCAGTAGAGACGCGAGGTGAAGGGTAAATGGCGAACTCAAGCTTCGATTTCTTGCCGTACTCGGTCGAAAGGCGCTCGAGCAACAAGGCACCAAAGCCAGAGCCAGTACCGCCGCCAAATGAATGAAATACTAGAAAGCCCTGGAGCGAGGAGCAATTATCTGAGATGGCAAGTATATTGTTTAGTACATTCGAGCAGCCAGTGACGCCGGGTGAATACATACCGGCAACACGACGAATGCGGTCGGCAACTTCTTCAACCATTTCTTTCCCGATGGTGTAGTGTCCACGTGCATCTAGACAAAGTCAGCGCTTGCTATAACCGACAGATGCTTCTGGGAGTCAGACAGTTGTTAGCAGCATCCTCCTTGCCATTGATCAGGGTTTCAGGGTGAAACAGCTGGCGATATTGCCCAGTTCGAACCTCGTCAACAGGCTACAATTATTAGCCTGTATAATGACGTCCAATGATGCTGACTCGATAGAAGCCCTACCGATGGGTCAAGATCGACGAAGATCGAGCGAGGGACATATTTTCCGTTGCTGGATTCGCTGAAGAACGTTTCGAAAGAGCCCGCAGACCTGGTTTCATCAACGGCATCGGGGTTAAGGTGACCGTCTGCCTTGAGACCATGTTCAAGCAGATATCTGTTATGAAGCCATGAGTTCAGCACTGGTCTGTCCTCGGCGACGGTGCGGATCATGTCATGATGGAGTGGGTGGGGATAACTTACAGCTCCCAGGCACTGTTCCCCAGCTGGATACCGGCCTGGCCGATGTGAATATGGCAAACCTGATAAATAGATCACGTTAGATTCCAAGAATGGCTAGAATTAGGTACCAACGACCCGGTCTTCTTGAGGTAACTCGAAGCTAATCGAGGGGAGGGGTGGAGGAGGGGAGCCGTGCGGGGAAGCAAACGCTCGGGAAACCAGTATACTTCTTACCTCGCCTCGCATGTTGCAGATCTGGCTGCCTTTTCCGGTGATGTTACAGCTTGGGATCTGAGATCGATAAAGATGAGAGGAGACGAGTAGCTGACAGTGGGGGAGTGCAGAATGATGAGGGGTGATGAAAGAGGGAAAGATGGTGATGAGGGGAGATAGAGTTGGAAGATGATGGTGCCATGACCGTGTGGTTACTTTGCTGACGGACAAGGACAACAGCGACACACGCGCTTACCGGGTTTGTAAACAACTTCGAGGAAACCAATCAACAACCTTGTTCCATCATCTTACAAACCGTCCGCATTCTGGAGGTGCGTACCTCAACTACCCGTGACAGTACTTCCTAGTCCCCTCCGAGTGCTTTCAAAGACAGTATCGGTATGATACTTACCCAAGAGCTACAGGCTTTTCATGTCACCTAACCCATACATTTCTTAAACGTCTCCCACGTGAACTAAGCGGAATGCGGGGAAACCGCGGCATCATGGATAGTCGAACAGCACCAAACATAGGTGAAAAGCACTCGTATCAAATTGAAACTGCGTGGCCACAGCACCGGTTTGCCTTCTCCCCTGATTCTGCCAGGCTTCATGATACTTGTGCTTATTCAAACTCACAAATTCTGGGGAAACGAGCTGTTATGCACCGACTGTATAGCGCATCATCGCCGAATCGGCTTTCATACGACCTCGACTGGAAGCCTCACTGATGACAGAACAGCCTACGAAACTGCGACAATCACAATTCTCGCCTGGCATGGTATTCTTAGCAGCATTTAACCGGAACCTATCAGATTCCCCGAGACGGACAAATGGTCATCTTATAGTTCACGCACCGCGCTAAAAGAGAAAAAAAAGGGCTCGCTTCGTTATCTGGGATCGGCAGTAGACAGACAAGGAGGGGTAGAGTAGGACACGTCGAGGGTCGATTATGATGTCGGAGGCTTGAGACACGACTCGATTAGGGATTCCGAGCCGGTCGGTGGGATTTATGTGCATAAAAGCTCCGCCCCTGCATCTGCACAAAACTCAGATATTTCATCACAATGAACACGTTATTTCCAAGGTAAAAGCCTGGAAATGCAAGGACGCCGACCATGGAAATAGGTATTATCGCTGTCTAGGGATGGCCATTGTACCTATATTGTCTAACAGTGTGGTGATCTCCTGCACGAGATTATAAGAGGCTGCATTATTTAGGTTTCATATCGTTGGGTTTACCGAAGCCACCGGGGCCAACGATCGGCTGCACTACAGAGCACTAGGATTTTAGCAGACGAGCTACCCTGAGTCAGGGCCAAACACAGCTCGTGTTAACGCTGAAAATAACGGCGGCACAAGAGTCGTCGTCGCATGGTAGTTGGGACACCGTCGGCTTGCCTGAGCTCTGGCTAGAAGGTCTGGGTTAGGCGTCAGGGGTGACGCGGAGATCCAGATAATGTGCTCGGCTTGATGATGCACTTCGGATGTTCCACGCTATTAGGAACAACAATTGTTCCAAGAAACAGCCAGTGTTCAGAAGGGAAATTTCCATGACGGCGACCGGGAGTGCCTGAATTGTGGCGTTTCTTGGCAGTCGCCACACTGCGTCGTTGAATTTTTCTTTTCATTTACCTTTCACTGAACCAGTCAATATTTCTTTCCCTTCCACCTTTCGGAGGATCTGCGTTGACCGACCAAAGGAATAATTCTGCAGGTACTATATCCCGATCAAAAGTCAATGAGGGCATGCAGCATGGGAAGTCAAGTCACGATGGTGATAGTCAACGATAATACTATCGGGATATAACCACTCGAAAAGCAGCAACCAATGCAGTGCGGAGTCATTGCGCGACGCACAGTGATCCAGTCTGGGACTCTGGGACTCCTGGGTCTGTAAGGATCCACTTTCTTCTTTCGAAGTGGGGATTCGAAGGGCCCATTCATTGTTAGTCCCGACGCCCACCGCAGCCACAACTGGGGCCGGCGCCATTGTTGCCTTGACTGTTTGCTGATTGAATGAGATTCTGAGGGTCTCCGCCCTGGCGCAATCTATCGATCTCACTTGAACTGGCCTAACTCGATAGCTTCGGAATTCCTGCCTCTGCCGTATCTGTAGATCGAAGAATAATGACCATAGTACGATGAGGATTGGAAGATAGCAAAAAATCACTTCATTGCTGCAGTAGAAACATTGCCAATAACGCCAATAATCAGCGGAATCATGCGCATCGGCAGGGCAGCAAGTATGAGTAAAAGCAAATTGGTCTGGACCAGAGGGGAGCAGCATCTCGGTTTCTTGGGCGTTTCCACTGGCCGACTTTCCCGTGCGATCGGCGAGGTTTCCGCATCGATCAACTCCTGCTCTATTGCTGCTGCCATCCATGGATGGAGCTCTGTGGATGGGAGTGAGAGTTTGTCAGTCTATCTGTCTTGTCTGTCTGTCTGTCTGTTCGTCGTCTTTTCTTCATCAGAGTTCCCCACTTCGTCCCTCTTCTGTCTTCCTGTCATCTCAATAGTCTTGTCTCTTGTCTCCTTTTCCTTTCCACCTTCTTTCTCTCGCACACACACACACTCTCTCTCACACTCATCTTCTCGCCTCACTGCGTTTGCTTCAGCCGTTCACTTTTATTGTACTTCCATACTGCTTCCCACTTGCTTGTATAAAATACCGGCGAGTTCTTTTCTTGCCTTGCTTCTCAAAACCTCTAATAGATCCTATGCATAATTAAATCATTTGAGCGGTATGTATCAATTCTAGTAATCTTATTTATGGCAATCGTCCCCACCAGTGTTCACTCGACACTCTCGCTCGTGCGCTTCTTACTGTCTCACCTCAATTTCCCCACGGACTGTCCACAGCAGCTTGGCTTTTTCCATAAAAAAAACTTATTCCCTCCTGTTCCCTGGATGTTCTTCGGTCGATCCATCTACTGTTTCTCATTATCCCATGTCGGCCTTTCGCTGACTGTCTGCACAGATTTGAGAGTTGACCAGGTCAATCGATATCGTTGTCGATCAGGTACCAGACTTTGAGCTTATTAGTTTCGTCGACTGGCCCGGTGCCAGCATGTCACACCCATCGGAGAATCTTCAAGTTCCGGTACATCAGCATGAGAAGAGATTAGAGGGCGACACCCCTGATACCGATGAGGGAACCTACTACGATGGCTCCACCAGCGGGCACGGCAATCACCTTCGGGTAGATACCTCATATGACTATGATCCCGCTGCCTTGCGCTCACCTGCGACTGCACGAGAAGAGTCGATGCGCCTGGAAGATGATCTGGCCGTTCTTGAGGCTGAGCGCATGGCATCCCGTTCCACCACGCAGGAGGGGTCGATGAGAAAGGGCGAAGACGACGGTGCCTCGATGGCCAGATCTCGCTCTCGTCCATCTCAGCATGTTGTTGATGAGTTTGATGAGGCGACCAACCCATTGCACGAGAAAGCGGCAGTCTACAACCCTCCCGAGAACCCCAACACCAACATTGCCAGATTCATTAAGAAGCTCCATGAGTCGAGTTTCATTGTGCGCTACCTCACCTACATTGTGCCACTAGTTCTGATCCTATTGATTCCTTTGCTGGTTGGTGCCCTAGCGTTCCCGGATGCCAATGTGGGAGGAGTTAAGTTGCTCTGGTTTTCGGTTTGGTTGGAGATTGTCTGGTTGACTTTGTGGGCCGGAAGAGTGAGTGTAAACCATTGAATTTGAATGTCAGGATAGATACTAACCTTAATTGCCCCCTTCTAGATTGTCTCGAAATGTATCCCAGTTCCAGCTGGCTGGATTGCCAGTATTTTCACCAACAACGCCAAAAAGTGGCGTGACATGGCCAAACAGCTCGAGCTCCATGGCACCTTGTTCTTCTGGTGGCTAGGTGTGGAAATCTCGTTCCTGCCCACCATGAAGAACCATCACGTCGACGGTAGCCACGGCACAAAATCCTGGGAGAATACAGTCAACAAGATCATCATCTCTATCTTTGTATGGACAATTCTGAACCTGGTCGAAAAAGTCATCATCCAATTCATCGCCATCAGCTTCCACACTCGTACCTACGCGGATCGCATTGAGATCAACAAATTTCAGATCGGCAGTCTGACTAAACTTTATGACTTCTCTCGGCGAAAGATTACAGCTGAAGACACGGAGTTTGAGGAAAAAGACAAAGGTACCCCAACTGGAATGAAGACCCCGCTGCATTATGCCGGAAAGGCAGGACGTCTGGCCAAGGGGGCCTTGAACAAAGTGGGAAACAAGGTGGGCGACGTGGCTGGCGCAGTTGCTGCCGACTTCACTGGCCGCACGGTTAACAACAGCAGTCACCCGTATCAGGTGGTGCTGACCTTGTTGCGCACCACGAGTGGCTGCCAGGTCCTGGCTCGTCGACTCTATCGCACTCTGGTGCGGGAAGGTTTCGAGACCGTGTTTTCTGGAGATCTCAAGGAAGCCTTCGATAACAACGAAGAGGCGGACGCCGCTTTCACCATGTTTGACAAGGATATGAACGGAGATATCTCGATGGAGGAGTTGGAAGCAGTGTGTGTGGAGATCGGACGGGAGCGCAAAGCCATCACCGCATCACTGAAGGACCTGGACTCTGTCGTCGGAAGGCTCGACAACATTCTGGAATTTTTCGTGATCATCATTACCGTGATCGTCTTCCTGACGCTCATTTCGACGTCCGCCGCCGGAGTGTTGACCTCTGCCGGGTCTAGTATTCTCGCATTGTCGTGGCTTTTCTCCGCCACCGCGCAAGAATTTCTTCAATCCATCATCTTCGTCTTCGTGAAGCATCCATTCGATGTTGGTGACCGTGTGACTGTCTATGGTAACGCAGGTGATGCCGGTCTGGGTGATGACTACTTTGTCAAGCAAATTTCGCTTCTGTACACGGAGTTCAAGAAGATGCAAGGCCATGTTGTGCAGGCTCCTAACAGTTACCTCAACGGCTTGTTCATTCTGAACCAGCGTCGGTCCGGTGCACTGGCTGAAGCAGTGCCCATCGTCATCAAATATGGTACCACTCT